CATGGCTCCCACTAGTCTGCCCTTGACTTGTTCCTATTCCAATCATTTGTATTAATCGCATATCGCGATACTTCATCAGACAATTTCCCCATATCGCCTGCTTTATCTCTATCTTAGCCAAAAGAATGCATTATGGAAAAAATTTGCATCAGTTTGGTGAAATATTTTCACGAGTTTAAAAGGATAATTTGTTCCTTTTAGCAGATAAAGTAGATACTCATATTCAACTTAGTATGCAAAAAAATTTAACGCCTAATATTTAGTTCTTAATTTTATGCAAGACAAAAGCCATCCCACTTTATAAAGACATAAAAATAATGATAAAATTTGAGGTAGCATGGCTGATTCTGTAGTAAAATCCAATTGCTTTATGCTCAGATTGGTAAAAAAAATGAATATAGCTATTTTGGCGCTGATATAGGCTGCAGTCTTAAATGAAAAAACAGTCCTAAGAAATGAGGGCAGTTTTCCCCTTGTCCTTTTGGGAATGGTTCTTCACTGGCCCTCCAGGAGATTCAAGATATTTCATTTCGTATAAATTAAAGTAACTCTTTCTTTTACCTTCCTCTCAGCAACTGCTCATTAACAAGGAAACCAACTATTCACTTACTATGCTGGGAGTAGCCTTGATATAAGCAAGAGATGAATTCATAGGTTACATTAGGGTAGGCGAAGTCAGACAAATTGTTCTTTGCCGAGTCTAAAAATCGCGATCATATGCTGTAATAATAACGATAAACGATTCCATGATTTTGGGTACATTTATGGAAGATGAATTCCTTGCCTAAAATTCCCAACATACGTGAGTCAAAGGGAATCAATCAAATGATTTTCTTCTGCGCCTCTTCGCTGTGATTCACTTTTCAAAGGGCGATAAGTGGGAGAAATCTTGAGGGGCAATGTCCTATTTACGCTATTCATGTCATTAGAAAATAGCAAATTGGATAAGTCAAAACACTGCCCGTCTAATCGACAGAATATCCTCAGAAGACGAATTTGGCGTTAAATTCAATTTTAATGGAAGGATTTTGAGACGCAGTGACTACACAGAAAGTTTCATTAACACAAAAGCAAAAAGAGGTGTATAAATGTGGATGAAGCCTAATTGCCTTAGATTTGCGTTCAAAAGGCCCATCTTCATGGAACAGGTGATCGGATCTAAAACGGGTCTGCCAAGAGGCATTGTATCAAGATTAAATCAGAGCTAACTAAGGACCATTTGTCTATTTTCAGTCAAATAAGAACTTTAATCGAAACTTCCTAATTATAAGTATTTCAACCACCATCTAAAAATTCACATGCAGCGGTGGCCACAGCTGAAAAGAGCAAAATAAAGAAAGTTTAGTGTCCGAGAAGGAAAACAAATTCCAAAGTTGTTGCCGAAGAGGAAAAGGAGCAGGTTATAAGTACGATTACAAGGTTTGCCATAGAGACAGGCCAGGCTCTTAGGTGTCGATATTTAGTGTGTTTTAACTTTTCAAATCTAAGAGCAAAAATAAAAGGCTGTAATAAGCAGATAGGAATACCTGAAATGAATAATGCATTATTCGTTCTTATTGTTAGCTTGTTTTAAAAGTATAAGATCATAAGCTAGTCTCTAGGATAGAGAATATAAGTATAGGAACATGGACTCTGATCCTGGTTCTGATCAGCTTAAAACGGCATGATTACTCAACAATGGGACACAAGGAACTATATACAAGCGAACATAACAACATAACGAGTGTGACTCACAAAGGCGATTGTGACAATAAGCATTCCTAAGGCGACGACAGCACCGATGTAAGTGAACAAAGTTGAGGGTCCATATGGCTGCATGGGGGTAGGACGGGTGTGTATCAAGCTGGCCCGTGTGGAGGGTAAGTCGGGCCGATTGGTACTGGAACCATCTACAGGCTCAGCTACAGTCTGAGGTAAATCGTACTCACGATCAACCTCAGCAGCACCGGTGCCCTCCATCGGATTGGCAATCAGTTGTGGTTGGTTAATAGATTTAGTCAAATGATTTTCGTCTTGTGAAAGTGATGGCGGGAATTCAACTGGCTGAGTCTTGTTGGCTCGCAAGGAAGTTTGAGCCTCGGCTAAGACCAGCGGCAGAGTGGATCTTTTGGTAGCATCCTCTACGAAAGGTATGCCGAGGCTCATGCTGACGACGAGAGGCAGCCAAAGTAGCAACAAAAGTAGCTTTGATAGGCAGGATGGATTTGCAGGGCGGTAATTTCCAACGCCCCATTGTTTTTGCACTTTCCTCTGCTGCAAGAGTTGCTTTGGTAGATCAATAAATAACGCTCCAACCCACGAATTTCTGCAAGGACTGCACGGACGTCGCTGAATAAATCCGGTTATATTAAATCTATTACCTTGAAAATGAGAACTTGAAAGAGGTGGGTTACTTAGTCTGGAGGAACACAGAAGAGAATAAGGAAAACAGTTTCCGAAAGAAGATTGCTTATGTCGAGATTTGAAGTGGAAATTAAGAAATGAAGAAAAGATGAATAGGAAGCAACAGAAGGACAAATAGTCCAAGGCATAAGGGAAACAGGAAGCGTAAATTGATTGAAGTAGGAATATTGTAAGAGAGATCAAATAATGGTGGCAAATATGTTCGAAGAGGATATCTCTAAGGAAAGCTTTGAAGCAAAGGCTTAAAAATACACAGAGATTTATAGCTGCTATTTCGATATGCTGACTAAGATCAAAGAGGAATCGAAGGAAGAAGCAGTGAAATCCTTTGATTGGCGACTTCCGCCGCCGTCGATATTGCCAACGCATGGAAGACAAACCATCCAAAAGGTAGATACTTATCCAATCCATTATTATCACCATCATCCGATTCTGCCCACCTAGTGTCAGAATAAGCGGAGCCGACCCACGCCATTTCTGTGATGACCTTCGAAATTTGTCAACTAAATGGACAGCACTCCTGTTGATAGGAAAGTGTTGGCTTTTCACTTGGCTCTGCTCGCCTCGACCACAAAAGGGGTCCTGTTCATATGATTTGGTCTCATCTCGTAAATAAAACGACAATTTTATATTTAAGTGACAAGGCCAAACAGGGTATTTACTTCCGTGGCAGTAAAGAAATGACTGTGGGACAGAATTTGAGAATGGGACGAGAGTGGAGTGAAAAGTAAGACCTCGGATTGATACAAAATGGGTGGGGCCTTTGGCCACAGGAAAGACATGCAGGTTTTGTCCGCTGTATAAAGAGACTGGGTTTTCAAAAGAAAAATGCTTCCAGTCAACCAGGCTGGGAGAAATGAAAGGGTCTGTGGCGTGGTGGACAGGTGAGTATGATTGGAACTGGCGGAGAGGGCATTGGAAGCAATAAGAGCATTGGCGTTGGTCCAGCAAAAGAAGCAAGAATAAGAGTGAAAGGAATTGGATGGTATGAAGGGCCTGATTAAGCAATGAATAATAAATTGGGAGGTGGTCAACAAACTGGTCTTCAGTAGAATGAACAGATGGTAAAAGATAACGAAGAAATCGCGGCCAATACTCAAGACGCTGATGAAGATTAATATGGGGCTGCTGCTTCTGGCTATATTTATAAGTATCATAGTAATTGCGATGAGGGAAGAGATGGAAATGAAAGCGACAGCGAATTAGTTGATGCTCGCGCGATTTGGTTCGAGGTGGCCAATGGAACAGGTGACGTTGCAGCATTTGCCTCTCGGTCCTTATGGACTGGCATAATTCAATGTAATCCAAAGAGTAGTGTTTATAGAGCTCGGGACCTTTATTAGTTGGCGACAAACGTTGGATAGATGAAGTAAGCTCGCTTTCCACCGACTTAACGGTGAGGAATTCGACAGAAACATGAGCGCAGCGAGTGGCAGGTACGGTGCATGCCTGGCGCGCCACGTCAGTTTTGTCCATCCATGCAACAAGAGCTTACCTAGGAAGCGTGAAGATGCATAGAAATGGATGAGAGGTATTTTGGCCTATCTTGAGGTCACCCCAAGTCTTGAAATGTATTATGAAAATAAAATAAAAGACACATTTAAAAGAAGAAATTAATCATTTACGGCAGTCTATAAACAAGCATATATGTATATATGATAATTGTATGATCACATTTAGAAAGTCGAAGCTCTTTATAATGCTTGCAGAGCTATCATTTATGTAAAGTAGTATGATTTCTTGTTATAAATCTAATATAGAAGAAGTGAATCAAGTTCATGACTTCATGGCTGAATTCACGAAAAGTCCAATGACATTAAGAAGGAAGACAAGCAAGGTTAGAAGAGTATCCAGTACATAATGTAAATATAGTTAGGAAGACTTTTACTTAGCATGGCAATG